ACCCTGGTAGACAGAAACCTGGCTCTGTCTACTGTGAAAACTTATGCTGCAGCCATTTCATCATGCCATGAGGGTTTTGGTGAGAGATCTGTGTTTGTGCACACACTGGTGAAATGCTTCCTGAGGGGAGTGGGCAAACAGCGACCTGTGGTGCGTTCAGTGACACCACAGTGGGATCTGCCTCTGGCTTTACCACCCTTCAGGTCCATAACACAGACCTCTCTTAAACACCTTTTGCTGAAAACAGCGCTCCTCTTAGACCTGATGTTGGCTAAGCGAGTGGGTGATCCATGCGCGTGCTCAGTATCACCAGCATGTTTCTCCATCTGTGAAGACAGCAGCTCAGCCAATTTGAGACCAAACCCTGCGTACACGCCGAAAATAATAACATCTTTTCGATCCAGAGTTATCTCCCTGGATGGTTTCTTTCCTTCCCCGCATGAAGATGGGTCAGAAAAAGAGCTCGATACCCTCTGTCCTGTGCACGCACTGTCCCAATATGTGGCACGCACAGCAGCTGTCAAACACAGCAGTTGTTCGTGCATTGGAGGGAGCACTCTTTTGGGAAGCCCCTAAGCAGCAGCTGTCCCACTGGTTGTGTGAATCAGCAACAACTCAACTCCCCTGCTTTCCTCAATCCCAAACCAGCTACAGAGTATCTTACCAGCTTCATTGACAGTGAGCAAGCACCCTCTAGCCTGGTGTCTGTAACTCACCTGTTATCCCTCACAATTGCCTAAGGGGCCCTTGGGTTATGACCAATCACCTTTCCCACTGTCCGACAATACCTCTGGCCAACCACTAAGCCAGCCAGACTCGCCAGCCTTGTTGAGTATTAAACGGCCCCTCGACCACCACTTCGCTTGCTTCCGTCCCTCATCCTGCATTCACACCACACGACTGGATTGGCCCAGTCCCTGCTTCTCCAGATCATCACCTTGTTTCCTGTTGACCAGCTCCAATGCCAGGAACCCTGGGTTCCTGTTCGATCTATGTCTGGTGCATCATCCCCTAGTACAGCTTGTCATAGAATAAAGTACTTTTTTGATTCCTTCGTTCTGAGTCTGCCTATTGACTCCATCTGCCTAAACTTGGCTCCCATGCCTTAACACCTACTTAAGAAGACGCCTTATTTTTCACCGAGTACTTGATCGAAATAATAGAGGTCTCGTTTAATATGTTTATAGGCATAAATTACAGATACAGCATGATCTTAATTATATTTTTAGGTCTTCTATGTTGTATTAGTGTGGTCTTTACTCTCCAAATGTTTAGCTGTTTGGGTCTGCTTTCTCTTACATAAAGAAATCTGTTTTGCAAATCCTGTGCCTGCACACAGGCCTTCTGCTTGCTTTAAGACTTCTTCCCATTTGACCTCTGTGTGCTTCTCTGAGATGGCAGTGATTACAGACTGGTCCTGATCATCTGCAGTTACAAGATCAACATGACATGAATTTGGTTGCTTTGAGCACATCATGGAAAAGGATGAGATGCAAAATAAACTCCTCAATGACTGCAGTTTTAGTTCTTGGGCACAGATAGAAATTTAGGGTAACAGTCTAATGAGATCAGCTCTGTGCATCTCAAAGCTTTAATACAAATCACTATAAACAATAATTCAGCCATGAGAACTGATACAGAGTGTCCAGTGAACAATGTGAATGCATTTTCATTGCAGGCTAGTTTGTGCACCAAGGCATAGTCACAAAAATAACTATTAATAACCACAGATTTACAATAGGAAAGTGTTGTTACAGGGACAACTACAAAGAGAACAACACTACTGGCAAAGAGCCAGGAAAAGGCAATCAAAGAAAACATGAACCTATGGGTCACCTTCACTTGATAGTGCAGAGGGAAACTGATGGCTATCAGTCTGTCATAAGCAAGTGCAACCAGATTAAGAGGCTCCATTGCAAGGCAGGCGTAGCAGAAAAACATGAATGTAAAGCAGTCATCATAGGGGATGTAGCGATGGTCAAACTGAAAGATGTCAAATACTTTTGGCACCACAGCAGAGCTACCAAACAGGTCTGCAAATGCTAAATTAAACACTGCAATATATTTTGGAGTTCTCAGAGTATGATCCAAGAATATTATTACCATCACAACTATGTTTCCGGGCACTGAGACAATATAAACAAAAAAGAGAAAGACATGATAATACTTCATATCAGGTATGCCAATAAATCCACTTAATATAAAATAAGCAGGACGCACAAAAGTGATGTTTTTCTCAAGATCTAGGTTGAGTAACTCCATAGTAAAACTGTCCACAACACATAGATTTATAGAAAGAAGTGTCCTCCTCTGTGTGACTGTGTAGTCTTATGTACAGTAGATGGAGCTGAAGACATCTCTCTCCTTCTGGTGGCAGAGCTCTGTTGAGCTTTACCTTTGTTGAGAGAGGGCTACCAAGAAAAGCAGCCCTCCACTACATTTTTGTTAAATAAGGTCAGTGCGAGCTCCCCTGTGTCTATTGTTTCTAAG